ACACACACACACACACACACACACACACACACACTCACACTCACACTCACACACACACACACACACACACACGCTAATATACACATAAAAAACCCTGCGAGCAGGCACGTGCGGTGCCGGGGATTAAGGATGAGTTCATCGCTCCTCTCTCAGACCAAAGGGAAGTAAGGATGACGCACCCGTGGCCCAGTGGCCTTATCGCAATTAAAGCCGATTTACACTGACTGAACTCGTCGTGTGTGCAGAATCGAGTGGTGTCGGGAAGTTGGGTGGACACGTTTCCACTTATCAAACAGAATACGGGCCCAATAAACGTTTGCCCCTACATTGCAGAGAGTAACGTACTTTTTCACAATGGTTTTTGTTAAGGCACGAGCACGAGCCTATTTTGCTAAAGGAATATGGCATCGCGATTGTATTTGTCAAAGAGCAGCATAAATAATAATAATTATTTGTGGATAATTGATGGGTGCATCTGGTGTGATTATCTCCTTCTTTCCTATCAAAAGTATCTGTCGTCCTTATGTCTCACCCTTCTTTTGTTTGTATACACTCTAATCTTCAACACTTTTATGTCCTGATTGTGTTGCTTGCAAGTGCACTTAACATTTTACCTAAAACTAAAACCGTATCATCATTACTGTTAAATCAGAATAATAATTTAATTTATTTATTGTTTCGTGGGAATTGTTTTATTATCTTGAGATTGGGAGTTAATAACCCATGAAACTTTATCGAATTGTCCCTGAAAACCAATACACTTTTAAAAAAAGATATGGCCGATCAAGACGTATTGACAAAGTGGCACGAACTTTAGGTCCTGCAGAAACTGTGATTTAGTCACATGAGTGTACACCCCTCTTTATGAATGGGTTCGTCCAGGGTCTGTCGGACCAAAAGGGGTAGCGATGACGCACACCTTACCGAATTACTTTTTATCTGTCGGATAATGGTGTGGTCATGTTGCTTTTATCGTGTGTTTGTTTTGCTTTGTTATTTGGGGGTAGAAATAATTTTGTTTGTTTTGTTTTAAACTCAAATAGACCATTTACGAGGCTGGGAATGTAGCGCAAGTTCCGCTGTGGGGAGTGGGGAACATCCGTGTGCAGACGGGTATTTTGACTTTGGGATTTTCCTTTTTTTTTCTTGTCTTCTTTTTTCTTGTTTTTTCTTTCTTGATT